AGGACACACTCCTGTGTCCTCTCCCCCCCCCGCCAAATCTCGTGTGTGCAACACTGAAGCCAAGAACCACAGTGCCATCCGGCAAGAAACAGGCCCAGGGAGGGTGAGTGAGGTCCTAAGAACACACAGCCAGGTGTGGAAGAATTGAGAGGTCTCATCCTCAAAGCTGAGGTTAGCACGATGTGACAACTCCACTGCAATTTGCCAGTGCCGGGAGCCGCAGTGGGGACCTGAGGCTGGCCGGAGGGGTTCGCTTCTGCTCTGCTCTGTGTCCTGCCTGGCTGTGATGGACAGCAGGCCGCGGGGCTGGCTCTGTAGCGCTGGGGACGTTATGTAAACATCATGCGATGTCTGTGCGCTGTGTGCTGCCGGCGCCTTGGCACGTCCCACCACGTTGGTGAGGTCGGGCCGGTGCTCGGGCCGGGACTGCAGGTATGTGCCTGTGGCACTGCGCTTGCAGCATCTCGCGATGTCACGGTGGAGGCCTGCATCCCGCGGTCAGCGTCGGGTTCCCACTCTGCCATTGGCTGGCCCTGGGACTGGGAGTAAGCTTCCCGGGCGGTTGGTGCCTTGGCTTCCTCCTCCATGCAGGACAGTGATCCTGGCATGACTGGGGCTGGCAAATGACTGGAACGCCGGTTCTGTACTGCGATCAAGGCGGGCCTGAGGCCACTGCCATCGGGTGTCAGGAGTCAGAGATTCCCCGATGACGCGGGTCTGGGAAGGGCCGTTCAGCCCCCCAGCACAGCCTAGGGGCCCCCACTACCCTGAGCCTGGGGCAGCAGTGGGTGATAGGCCTGGAGCACCATAGATATCGGGACACGGGGGACAGTCACCGGTGTCTTCCACCCAGGCCTGTTCTGTGACACGGCCATTCTAGTCCCTGGGGACACAGAGGCGGCCCGCAGCCACGTTTGCTGCCCTCGTGGGGCTCAGCCAGGGTGCAGCCGGGGGACAAATGAGAAAACAAGACAGCGAGCAGCTGTTGTCAGGCCCCTGGAGAGAAACGGGTCAATGGGATGGGTGAAGAGTTTAACTCATGAGCCACTTAGTGAGAAGCTGCTCTGCGACCAGCTCCTGTTTGGGGGGTCAGATGGCAAAGGGCCTTCTGTGTGCAGCCGAGAAGGTCAGACTTCATTCTGACTCTCTGAGCCTAGGGAGACGGTGTCATGGTGAATTCTGGAGTTGGCAGGAGGTTTCTCAGAAGGGAGAGTATTGGTGCTGGTCCTTGAAGACTGAGGTGTGACCAAGTTTGGATGAGTGGAGTTCAAGGCTCAGAAGTTTGAGGCTTGTCTCTGGGTGTGCCAGCCACGTGTAAGGAGGGAGATAACCCCACCCCTGCAAGGCCAGGCCAGGAACAAGAGGAGGGGCCTGGGAAGAGAGCAGCAAGAGCCATCTCAAGCGATCCACGGAGAAACCTGGGAGTCTCCTGACGAGAGAGGTGGCCCTGGAGGCCTGACTGGACTCCCCGAGCAGGGCCTGGTCAGCACAGGACTCCCAGCACCGACTCCCCAGATGGACGCCTCTCCCATTCCCGAGTCACTGCTGACATGGATGTGAGACCTGAGCCCATAGCTTGAGCGGAAAGTCTGGTCCCCGAGGTAAGTGCACAGCATCTGGCACACAGTAGGTGCTCAGGAAAGCAAATGTGCCGTGGTGGGGCTGGCTGAGGCTTTGCACACCAGCAGTCCTGGCTTCAAGTTCAAGGTCTGCCAAGTATTAGCTTGGAGGCCCTGGGGGATTGACTCAGCTTCCCTTGGCTTGCCTGTAAGTGGCAGCCACCAGGCCACCCTCTTGGGCCCTCCTGGCTTGGAGAGCCGCTGGGGGAGATGCGGCTCAGGTGCACAGTGCGTGGCCCCTGCCATGCTCAGCTCCTTACAGTCCACTTTTCCCTTCCTGCTCCTCCTTGCTTCCTTCTCCCTTGCCTCTTGGTGGAATTGCTATGGAAAGCATTTTCCCCCTCTGTACTGCAGCATCCTCAGCCTGGGAAGACACTGGCTGAACTGGACACGGAGCCCCACTGGCAGGGAAGGTCATCACTGGCTGAGAAGCCAGGAGAGAGCCTGACAAGAAGGTGACACCGGGCTGGGCTGGGAAGGCTCTGGCTGAGCTCCGAGGAGAGTGGCTGGAAAATGTCTTGACATCTGGGAAGAGAGAAGGTGCGCAGCGAGCGAGGCGGGTGCCGCGGGCCAGGGCAAGGACGGACAGGGGACTTTGGAAGCCACGCTCTCCACCGAAGGCAGGACAGGCAGGCAGCCCGAGGGCCGTGGCTGCCAGATGCACGGTGCCACCTGGCGGGCAGCAGTGGCCAGAGCCTAACCAGGTGACGGCGGAGCCTCAGGGAGTCAGTCCCTCAGCGGAGATCGTGTGCCTACCTTGCCAGGCAGGTTGGGCTGGAAAGGGCTAGAGAAACGCATAACCCCTGACTCTGCCCCAGCAGACAGAGCCACCTGTCCAAAGCCAGCATCCCAGCATGCTCCAGTCCCTGTGCCTGCCCCCGGGTGGGAAAAGGTCTGATTGCAGCTCCTCCACCTGGGCCAGCCATCTCTACAGGAAGTAGTTGGAGACAGGTGACAGTGGGCAGCCCCCTCATTTGTATGGCAGGTCGCTGGTGGCTAGTGGAAGGAGAGGGCTCCTCGCTGCCCCTGCCAGTGTTCAGAGGAGGCTGGACATCAAGGCTGTGGCCCAAAGGTGAAGGCTGAGCTGAGCCCTGGTGGCTCACATCTGTAATCCAATGCCAAGATCAGAGGATTATAGTTGGAAGCCAAAAGTCCATGAGACACTGGGGGTGTAGCTCAAGTGGTAGATGCCAGTCTTGAGGCAAAAAGCCAAGTGAGAGTGCAAGGCCCTGAGTTCAAGCCCCAGTGGCGGCATGCACACACGCATGCGCGTGCACGTGCGCACACCAACACACCCCCCCCCCCCAAACGAGGGCTTGTGTACAGACCACCAGCCCTTTGGCTGACCAGGGGGTCAGGAGGCAAAGGCAGCAGGAGAAAGGGGAAAGGAGAGGAGGAGGAGAGGAAGAGGCATGCCCGCTGAGCAGGCGGGCACAGAGGCCTTGCCCATTAACATTTCCTGGGCAGCCTTCCTCACCATCCATCCATCCTCATTGTGGGCCTTACCTTCTCTCTGGCGGGCTGGTGGGCCGGGCCAGCGTGGCCTGAACTCGCTTGCTCTAAGCGGTGCCCTGCTTGCAGCCCTGCCGGCGTTGGCACGGTGACAGTAGCCAAGTGTGCAAACTTGTGCCATTGTCCCCAGGCCAGGGGGAGCCATGGAGACTGGCTAATATGACACAGGAAAATGTTTGCTGATGGCAATTCTATGGGCTTTGTCCACCTCTTTCTCCATCATGACGACTCGATTTAAGTCCCTAACTGTTTGACTACAAATGCTAAGGGACCGTGCAACGCCAACCTTTTGTCCCCCAGCACTGAATGGGCAATTCAGGCTTTGTGCAGCTCAATTGAGGAAGCAAACATAAAGACAAGATTCCTGAGCGCTCCGGCTCCCTTCCCAGGGATATTCCAGCATCCTGTTAGCCGGCCCTTCCTTTCTCCACGTCAGTCAGTACCCCATCGGGCCTGGGCCTCGCAGGTCCTCCAGCGCCCCAGCCCTGGGGGAATCCTAGAGCGAGCGTGGTGCAGAGAGAGACAAAGACAGAGACAGACAGAGAGCCACTCAACACTCAAGGACAGCAGGAAAAACAGCCCGCCCTGCCTTACCCCGTCCGATTGTCTGTCTGCACTGGACCATGGCAGCTGTCGGCCTGGACTCTTGGGGGTGGGGGGGAGGAGGGAGAGGAGGAGTTGTGCAAGCCCTTCTCCCCTGCGCCCGTCCCTGGACCTTTTAAACACTCACACACGCATGCATACACGCGTACACGCCACCCCCTTGAGGAGCAGGGAAGGGAGGTCGAGGGGAGGAGGGGTGTTGGAGGCCCAGGAGAGCCCGGTTTGAAGGCCAGAAATTTACCGGGAAATGATTGCATTTGGAGCTGTCTTTTTTGTGATGGTCCCCATGGTGACAATTTGTGACGGCAAAGAATGTGGGAACGGGGCGCCGCCGGCGGGTTGGGATGCTTTGTATCTGGAGAGGCGCTCCTGATTGGCCTGAGGGCCCCCCAGCTCTGGGCTTGTCCTCCATTCAGTCCACTCAAGGGCTGCACAACTGCTCCTGGACACGGAGCGCGCGCGGCGCCACCGGGCCGGCCCAGGTCTGCGGGGGAAACCTGTCGGGCCACGTTGGTGGGGCCCCCCGGCCACACCTTCGGTCAGTGTGGAGGCCCGACGGCTCTGGCCCGGCCAGGTGTGGGGGGCGGGGGGATGCGGGCCGGCCAGGGGCCTGGGGGAGGGGCGCAGGGCTGCGGGTGGGGGCCCCCGGAGGCATGAAATCGCTGCAGCTGCTCCTCCTGGGGAGGCCCCGCTGCCCACAGCCTGAGATCAGTCTGCAGGGCAGGTCTCGATTAAGTGCTAGACAGGGGTCCTGCCTGGTCCTGCCTGAGAGCCGGGGGTGGAGCGTGGGGACGCGAGGGGGCGGGCTGCTGGGAGGGGCGGCTACCCCCAGGAGGAAGGGGGCTTGGCCTTTAAAGTGAAGCAGTTGTGTCAGCTCAGAGAAGAAGAAGAAGAAAAAAACCAAAACCAAAACTAAATAACGTTGCTGGCAAGTTGGCAGGGTAGTGTGCGGGAGGTGTGGCAGCCTAGGAGTCTAGCCCAGCGATGCCACGTAGAGCTGGACCACCTAGGGCAAGTTGCTTGACATCTCTGAGCAAGAAGAGGGTCACAGATCCCAGAAGGCTGTTAGGAATTGTCCCATCTCTCAGGTGCACAGGATGTGTGTCAAGACTTAACAGATGCTCCCTGCTCAGGGCTCTGTGGAAGGCTGAGGTGTATGTGTGTGTGGGGGGGGGCGGGAGGTAGGCACCTCTATTTGCATCCAATGGCCTGTTGTGTCCCCCAGGTCAGCTCTGCGCCCTCCTTGGAGCTCCCAGCCCCCAGCAGAGCCCGCCCTCTTCATGGAAAGGCCCGCGCTGTGGCCCCCTGGTGATGGCGGCCGACAGTGACGTGAAGATGTTACTGAACTTCGTGAACCTGGCGTCCAGCGACATCAAGGCCGCTCTGGACAAGTCGGCGCCGTGCCGCCGCTCCGTGGACCACCGCAAGTACCTGCAGAAGCAGCTCAAGCGCTTCTCCCAGAAGTACTCCCGGCTCCCCAGGGGCCTTCCCGGCCGGGGGGCTGAGCCCCACCTGAAAAGGGGGCCCGAGGACCGGCCCAGAAGGCTGCCCCTCCACCTGGGCCCTGACTGCAGCCCCAGCGGGAGTGGGGGCTACAAGGAGAAGGCTCTGGGGCACCCCTTCCGGCAGGAATGTCTCCCCACGGAGCTTGCCCTCCACGGGCAGAGTCCAGAAGCCGCCAAGCCTGGCCAGGTGCCCATGAGGAAAAGACAGCTGCCCGCGTCCTTCTGGGAAGAGCCCAGGCCCACCCACAGCTATGCTGTGGGGCTCGAGGGGGGCCTGGGCTCCAGGGAGGGACCTCCCTATGAGAATAAGAAAACTTGCCATGGCCTGGAGTCCCTGGGGCTCGAGTCTACCCCGGTGCCCATGTCCCCAAGGGTACCGGCTGACAAGAACCCGCTGGGGATGCCCGGGATGTCCCTGGGGGGCCGAATGGATGCCTGGGGCTGCTGCCCCTTCCAGTACCATGGACAGCCCATCTTCCCTGGCCCTCCGGGGACCCTGCCTCAGAGCCCAGTGCCCAGCCTGGGCCTGTGGAGGAAAAGCCCGGCTTCTCCCGGGGAGCTGGTCCACTTCTGCAAGGACGTGGATGGCCCAGGGCAGAAGGTGTACAGACCCGTGGTCCTGAAGCCCATCCCCACCAAGCCGGCCATGCCCCCTCCCATCTTCAATGTCTTCGGCTACCTCTAGCTGGGCAGGGACAGGCTCACTCCCTGCTCCGTCCTTGCAGGATGGGGTGGGGGGTGGGGGGCGGCCTGGTGAGCTCTCCTTGTGAGGAAGGGGCTGGGCCGTGGCGTGGCCTCCTGGGCATCCCCAGCCCCTCCCCCTTTCCCTCTGGGGGAGAGAGAGCAGCACCAGCCATCAGGTGGCGCCCCCAGGCACCCCGGGAGCCGCAGGGCCGGGCACGGCTGGCCCGTCCCCACGCAGGCCCGGGGCTAACAGCACCCCCAGGTGTACGCATGGGCACACCACGGGCTGTGGGACCCAGCCACCCCGCAGCCACCCCAGTTACCAGTTACTGGTTGCCAGTTGCAACCCCGTTCAGCCGCCACCACTGTGTGAGCCCAGCCCAGATGTTTGTTTTGTTCTTTGTAAATATTGAAAAGGTTGAATAAAGACATTTCTTTTGCAGTTTCCACAGCTTGGGTGTCATGAAGTTGAATGGTTTACCTCAGCACGGAGGTACTGGCTCTGGGGGAGCAGGTGTGGCTCAGAGCCGCTGAGACTTGTGGGGACAGGCTCTATTCAGAGGATGGAGGTGGAGAGTACTAGAGAGGGGCCAAGGAAGCATCCTAGGGGGGACCCCCCCGATCAGAAGACCTGGACACTGGAGGCTCCATGCTGCTCTGTGCCCAGAGGTGAAGCTACCTGCTGTTTCAGTTCTGCTTTGTGCAGAACTGCTTTCTGCCTGTGCCTAGTGGCCCAGCCCTGCCCAACCCTGCCCAGCCCTGCCCAGCCCTGCCCGGGGCGAACAACAGGCCAAATAGGATTGCAGTCCCTTGTGGACCCAACAGGCGATTCAACCAAGCACCCCATTTAAATCTGTTGGTTCCGTGACCCCCAAGCCAAAGCAATTGATAGTGTCCAGTTCAGGTTCCCAGGTTTGTCTGCTGAGAGCTCTCAGTTGCTGGCATGTTATGGTCGCCTGTCCCCAGATTGAGGGGCACTGGTGGCAGGGAGTGGGTCCTCAGACTAGTAAAGTCATGGGGGACTGGGGGGCTCCACCTGCCCACTCGCCCAGAGATGCTCCGCCGCCATAGCACACAGAGGCCCAGCCCAGTAGCCAGCCCTGGCTGGTGATGCGGACTGAGTTAACCTCCCAGAGCCTCCGCCTCCTTGTCGGTAACAGGACTGGAAAGGTACATTACCTCGCCGCATCCAGGCTTTCTGTCTCTCTCCTTCGTGACCCGAATCCCTTCTAGCGAACCCAGGGCTGCACAGGGCCCTTCCTCCCCTGCCTGGTTCCATCCCACGATCCATGGAGCAGGAAGTCCACTAGACAGGCAGCTCACCACAGGGGGAAGCAGGCAGGGTACCACGGCTCAGAAGACTTGAGAGCCGGATGCTGGGCTAACAGGCAGGCTCATTGTGAGTGATTGTCCGGCCTGTGGGATTGGGTACGGCCTCAGTGTGGGCCCTCAGCTGCAGACAGCCTGGGCTTCGAGAACAGTGAGGGGTAAGAGAAGGCGTCATGCAAGCCCACAGAATCTGTAGTGCTGGCCTTCTGTTCCCATTCTTCCACTGTGCAGCAGGGAGTTGAAAGCTCACACCCCAGCTCTGCTGCCTATCAGCTATGTGATCTTGGGCAAGTTACTTAACTTCTCTGAGCTCAGATTTCCTCATCCAAAAAGCAGTTGTGACCTGCTGCATGGTTTGCTGAGGGGGTGGGGGGTCATCACACTATCCAAATGCTCAGCAACTAGAGCAGCCAGAAGTCACCCCTCAAAATTACCAGGTGACATCTGCAGACCCTGCTGTGCTGAGTCTAAGAATGGTTTGTGTGTGCATACACACACATACGCACAAACGCGCGTGCGCGCGCACGCGCACACACACACACACACACACACACACACACACACTTATACAGGGGCTTGAACGTAGGACCCCAGTTTTTTTACTCAAGGTTGGTGCTCTTCCATTTGGGCCAGACCTCTACTTCTGGCTTTTTGCTGGTTAACTGGATACAAATCTCTTGAATTTGTTTGTCCTGGCTGGCTTTGAACCAAGATCCTTCTCAGATCTCAGACTCCTGAACAGCTAGCATTATAGGCATGAGCCACCAGACTGTACTAGCTATGGCTTGGACCTTCCAACCAGCCACACGGCCTATGGAAGGAGTGAGCTTCCAAGGCATGCTGCAGGGTCCTCAGCTGGGCACCTGCAGATCTCATCAAAAGCCTGGAGGCTTCGCTGCAATGCACAAGTGTGTACTAAGCCATGACAGCAGCCCCAGGCACTGTGACCTCCTGCATGGAAAGGTGCCAGAACACATCTGGGGAGACTGGCTGTTGATGACAATGATTTTAAAAGCACCAGCAGCAGACACACCCCATCTAAAGAGCCAGTTGTGTTGGTTCAAAGCCAGCCTGGAGACTCCACCTATCAGTGTCCAGTTCTCACTGCTGGGGCACACTACAGCTTGTGAAATGCCATGGTGGCCATACTTTCAGGATGGTTGGTGTTTTGTGATGCTGTGTGACAACCCAGACGCTGGAAGCCCTCCTGCAGCCAGGTCCCTCTGCAGAAGGTGACAGCAGCAAGTCCTTGACAGGTGTGATACAACGTGAAACATGGTACTCTGAGTGCCCAACCAATTAGCACTGACACCAGAGCAGGGCACAACCAATCAGCACGGACACACAGGAGAGGGCTTGACCAATCAGCTGTGACTGTGGGGGAGAACAGACAGGGACCTGAGAAGGGCAGGCTTTCAAGTGGGGCTGGGAGAGTCTGGTGACAAGGACTTGGATGGGCAGAGCATCTGTGTGTAACATTTATTTGAACTCAGTGAAAAGCCCCCTGGGCCAGACCCAGGTCCTTTCTCCCAGTGCTGGGCCCCACCTTTGGGGGGAAAGTCCAGAGTCCAGTGGAGGGGTTCACAAGGACGAGAGGGGCATGAGGTCATCCCGGACAGCAAACTCATCTCTACAAGTCTTCCAGACACAGTCCAACTGGAGCTGGGCCTCATGAGCATGCCCTGCCCAGACCACCTCAGGCTCCGCCTTGGCCTCCCGGTGAAGGTCTCTGCCCTTCTCACTGGCAGAGAAGGCCTCATCTACACAACAGTTTGAAACAATTATTCTTCTCCTACTGACACACTGTGCTCCTCGCTCTGGGCAAAGCTCTGCCACAGCCCAGCAAGGTCACTGCCGCTGCCCTGACTGAGAGGCGGCGGCCTGCAGCCTTCGTCTGCCCCTGCGGCCTCTGGACACAGGATACCACTCTCCTGAGACGTCAAGGAAGCAGGGCCATTCCTTCTCCCTGAGGCCCATTACTGGGTGTTCTCATACTTCAGGTATCTAATCAGCCTGCCCGGGAGAGGCAGCGTATCTAGGAGCTTTATACGATATTTCCCAATGGCCTTTCGAACCCGCAGACGACAAAGGTGAGCCAGAGGTCTTGGAGGTTCTGGAATAAAAAAGAAAGAGATGCTGACTGTTGTTTGCACCTAGCACAGGGTGTGGCCTAAGGGAGGTGCCCATTTGGTGTGACTGGACATGAGTGGGGTGCCTGCTATGGTAACCCCAGTCCGTGTAGTGAGGAAACTGATGAAGGGCCCTCCCTCTGGTGAAGGAAGCGAGGCTCGGGGCCTCACCTGAGATGTTCTGGGTCAGCCTAATGCAGCCTCTTTACACCCAACCTGGATCCCAAACACAGCCTTAACAAAGGAGTCAGAGTTTGACCTCTTGGGTGTACTGTGCATGGATTTTGGCTCTGGACTTCTGCTGGTACAAGAGGCTGTGGAGAGGGCAGTACCAGGCAGCTCCCTGCAAGTCCCAGCGTCCCTCTTAGCTGTGTTCCAGACCCCCTGGACGGCCTCGCACAGTGGGAGGCAGAAGCAGGGACCAGGCACCAGGGAATGGGTAATTTACTTGAACGCCAAATGTCAATCACCGGAGGTCATGGCAAGGTTCAGGATAAAAAGCATGAGGGGGGTGTGGAGGAAGGCAGAGGGCATCCATGCCTCATCCTCTAGATTCAGAACACAGCTTCCCTCTGGGAGGGTGTGGAGGGATGCAGGGGGAAGTAGAGGCTACTGGGGGACCAGGACATGGAGGCTAGGCTACCTGCTAACTCTGGGGTCCTCTCTACCTTCTTCCCCAAATAATATAAACATCAGAGCACCAAACGCAAAATCAGTTGAAGAGTTTTATAGGTGGGAGGTGGGGGTTAAATGAGCAATGTAGATGTTGGTTCAGAACTGTGGGTTCTGCTTGTCCGTTAGCATTTGCAATACAGACAGGGTTTGATTGTGTGCAGCTTCCTGGGTAGCTAGGATTACAGGCGTGAGCCACCAGCACCTGGCATGTGTTTCTCTGTTTGTTAAAGTGATGCTTAGAATATTTAAAATGGTACCCATGGATTGTGGTTAGGGCCGGGTCGTAGTGGGCTGTTGCTGCTACTCTCAGTGTTGATAAGGCAGGGCTGAGATGGGGAACTGGGAAGAGGACACAGGGCTGGAAAGATTTGCTGGGCAGCAGATGCCCTTTGATTCTGGATGTGTTCTCTCCAGTGGGAAGTGCTGGTCTAAGTCAGAGCCTCACTGCCTGCATTCAAGAACAGAGTGACGGGGCCGGCAACTCCTGTATCCGCAACGCCCTGTCCTCACCCTGTGATCCTGGACCAGTTCTTCAGCCTTGAGTCTGTCTCAGCGTTGGGACAGTCCTGGGACACCCTAGGTCTTTAAGAGGATTAAGTGAAAGGTGTGTGCGCATGGTTCTGCTTTTGTGGAGCCAACCGACCTCACATAAAACATATTTGCAGGGCTGGGAAGGTGGCTCAGTGGTAGAGCACTTGCCTGCTCTGGGGAAGAGAAGAGCTGAGACAGGGCCTGAGACCCACATCTAGGTATGGACCGCTCCACCCTCTAGTGGCCAGGGATAGTAATGACCGAAGCCCATTCAACAGGTAAGCTTCATTGTGCATCAGGTCACTTTCCCAAGAAAAGCCCAGGGCACTGGAGCACCCTGCCTAGATGAGCTTGGTGCTTAGCAGGGACACTAGCATTGGAGCCCTGGCGTTCAGGATCCCAGTTGGCACAGCTGCCCCCTGTACAGAGCACACATCAGCTTCCTGTGCCTGGCGCCACCACCTGCACACACCATAGTCTGGCAGAACTAGCAGGCGACTGGACCAGTCTCCTTTATCCAAGTGGGAAGGGCCTTGCCCAAGGCCATCTGTGTGACCCTGGCAAGATGAGCTCACAGCTCTGGGGCCCTACACCAAGGCTGCTCCACTGTCTGTGGGGCAGAGGCACTGGACACCTGGGGCCATGGAAAGGGGCTGGGGGAGGGCTCGTAGTGCTGCCAAACCAAAAGCCCTTTGGACAAGATGTCTGGGTGTTTTGTGAGTTCTCTCTGGGGATGCCCTGCCCCTCCCTCCCCCCCTCCCGCCATACTGCCTCTCAGGGGGCCCAAGGTGCGGGAAGCAGATTCCATAGCCCCCTGGGAGCAGAACCATTTCAAGCAGCGTGGAAAGATGTCCAAACCATGGTAGGGCTAGCATGACTCATATCTGTAACTTGGAATCCCAGCTGTGTGGCACTGACCCATATGACGTGCCGTTTATCATCCAAGGAGGCGTCCACACGCTGCAAGGGACCCCCAGACAGCAGGAGTCTGGCAAGGCCCAATGCAGAAGCTGTCACGTGCCCCGGGGCTTTGGCTCTGTGTCGGGTGGGGGAGCTGCCAGTGGCAGCAGCCACGGCCTACCTGCCTTCTCCTTGATGACAGCCCAGTCCTCGAAGCTGTCGATGTGCTCCTTGAGCCGGGAGCACAGCTGCACGTTGCCCACGTAGTCCAGGAGGACGTCGATGATGGGCCCTGCCCAGCGGCTCACCTCCGGGGCCGAGAGGAACTCGCAGAACTGAAAGGGCGGACCACGTTAGTTCTACAGGTGAGGCTAGGGAAGCAGGAAGATACTGAAAACCGAAGCCAACACACTTGGCTAGGTCCACATCCATAAACACATGCCCCTCCACACCTAGGCCTCTCTGCCCAAAGCACACACGGGCCACTTGGCCTGCCCATAAAATGGGTGTAAAACATCCACTTCAAGAGGACTTTTAGAAATGAGCATTCAGAGCCAGGCCACTAGTGGCTCGTGCCTGTAATCCTAACTACTCAGGAGGCTGAGATCTATGAGGACCACGGTTTGGAGCCAGCCCAGGCGTAAAAACCTGTGAGATGCCATCTCCAAATAACTAGCAAAAATCTGGGATAGAGGTATGGTTCAAGTGGGAGAATGTCAGCCACGAGCAAGCAAGCTGAACAAGTGTGAGGCTCTGAGTTCAAAACCTGGTTTCTGGTAATAGGAACCCAAACTTCTTTGCACACAGGTAGACTATAAATGCTGATCATTAATTGACAGTAAAAGTGGAGTTTTTTTTTTTTTTAGCTGACTTTTCAAGCTCTTGTACAGCTTTTGTGCTCAAGGCTGGCATGCTACCTGAATCATACCTCCTCTTCAGGCTTTTTGCAGGTTAACTGAGATAGTCTCATGGACTTTTCACCCAGGCTGGCTTTGAACTGAGATCCTCAGATCTCAGCCTCCTTAGTGGCTGGGGTTACAGGGGTAAAGTGCTGACTTCTAGAGCCACACGCCGTGGGCGGGTCCGGGCTCTGGGTCACTGGCTTCCCGCCCCTCCAGGAACCTCAGGCCTGCTTTAGCTGCTGTCTTAACCTTGCAGGTGGCGGTTTGTCCGGGGTGAGGAGCCCCTCCGCTCTGCAGGGCTCCCACCAATCCCTTGCTCGACGGTTGGTTCCTTAAACGTCCCCAAAGCAGGATTGTAATCTGTTTGGACAAACCAGGAAGTTCTGCCACCTCTGAAGGTGACAACCACCAAGTTCCTTCGCTTCCGGATCTGGGCTGGGGTCAGCGGAATGGGTGCTGATGCCAATGGTCAGCGTGGCCTGGCCCGGGGTGCTGCCCCCGGGGCCCCCTCGCCTGGCCCGGGCCCCCGGCCCCCTCGCCTCGCCCGGCCCCCTCGCCTCGCCCGGGCCCCGGCCCCCTCGCCTCGCCCTGGCCCCGGCCCCCCTCGCCTGGCCTGGGCCCCGGCCCCCTCGCCTCGCCCTGGCCCCGGCCCCCCTCGCCTGGCCTGGGCCCCCGGCCCCCTCGCCTCGCCCCGGCCCCCCTCGCCTCGCCTGGCCCGGGCCCCCGGCCCCCTCTCCTCGCCCGGCCCCCGGCCCCCTCGCCTGGCCCGGGCCCCCTCGCCTCGCCCGGCCCCCGGCCCCCTCGCCTGGCCCGGGCCCCTCTCCTCGCCCGGCCCCCCGGCCCCCTCGCCTGGCCCGGGCCCCCTCGCCTCGCCCGGCCCCCGGCCCCCTCGCCTGGCCCGGGCCCCTCTCCTCGCCCGGCCCCCCGGCCCCCTCGCCTCGCCCGGCCCCCGGCCCCCTCGCCTGGCCCGGGCCCCCTCGCCTCGCCCGGCCCCCGGCCCCCTCGCCTCGCCCGGGCCCCCGGCCCCCTCGCCTCGCCCGGCCCCGGCCCCCTCGCCTCGCCCGGCCTCCTCGCCTCGCCCCGGCCCCCTCGCCTCGCCCGGCCCCCTCGCCTCGCCCGGCCCCCTCGCCTCGCCCGGCCCCGGCCCCCTCGCCTCGCCCGGCCCCGGCCTCCTCGCCTCGCCCCGGCCCCCTCGCCTCGCCCGGCCCCGGCCCCCTCGCCTCGCCCGGCCCCGGCCTCCTCGCCTCGCCCCGGCCCCCTCGCCTCGCCCTGGCCCCGGCCCCCTCGCCTCGCCCTGGCCCCGGCCCCCTCGCCTCGCCCGGCCCCCGGCCCCCTCGCCTCGCCCGGCCCCGGCCCCCTCGCCTCGCCCGGCCCCCTCGCCTCGCCCGGCCCCCTCGCCTCGCCCGGCCCCCTCGCCTCGCCCGGCCCCCTCGCCTCGCCCGGCCCCCTCGCCTCGCCCGGCCCCCTCGCCTCGCCCGGCCCCCTCGCCTCGCCCGGCCCCCTCGCCTCGCCCGGCCCCCTCGCCTCGCCCGGCCCCCTCGCCTCGCCCGGCCCCCTCGCCTCGCCCGGCCCCGGCCCCCTCGCCTCGCCCGGCCCCGGCCCCCCTCGCCTCGCCCGGCCCCGGCCCCCTCGCCTCGCCCGGCCCCGGCCCCCTCGCCTCGCCCTGGCCCCGGCCCCCTCGCCTCGCCCGGCCCCCCTCGCCTCGCCCGGCCCCGGCCCCCTCGCCTCGCCCTGGCCCCGGCCCCCTTGCCTCGCCCGGCCCCCCTCGCCTCGCCCGGCCCCGGCCCCCTCGCCTCGCCCGGCCCCGGCCCGGCCCCGCCCGCCGCCCCGCACACCTGCACCGCGCCGGGCGCCTTGTCCTCGGCCGGCGCGTCGTGGAAGCGGCCCGCGCGCGGCGGGGCGGGCGGGTGCGGGCCGTTGCCGTAGCGGCAGGAGAAGCAGGCCTCGCCGTCGCAGCCCAGGTCCATGAGGAACTTGAGCAGCGACAGGCACTTCATGGCGAACATGATGGTGGCGGGGAAGGCGGTGGGGTGCGTGGCGACGTAGGCGTCGACGTCGGCGCCGTGGTCCAGCAGCAGCCGCATGGTGCGCAGGCAGCCGTGGCGGATGGCCACGAGCAGCGGGCTGATGACGTCGCGGTTGGGGTCGGCGCCCGCGCCCAGCAGCAGCTCGGTGGCGCGCACGTTGTTGTTGACCACGGCGAAGTAGAGCGCCGAGCTGCGCCGGTCCTCGTACAGGCGCGCGCGCTCGGGCGCCAGCGGCGCGTTCACGTCGAAGCGCGCGCCCAGCAGCGCCTCCAGCACCGCGTCGTGGTTGCGCTCGGCCGCCAGGTGCAGCGGGCTGACGCCGCTGCGGCGCACGCGCGTGCGGCTGGTCACCGGGAGCAGCATCTGCACGATCCTGGGGGGCCGCGGGGCGCGCAAGGTCACCGCCGGCCCGAGGTCGTCCGGCGGCGCCCCCCCCCCCCCGTGCACGCACCGACAGCCCCGCCGCGTCAGGACTGCCACACCGGGAGGGGGGCTCAGAGAGGTTCCACCCCTTCCCCAGAACCACACAGCCCCAACGCGGGGTGGCTGGGTTGTAGACGCTCAGATCCGAGCTCTGCAGACTCCCCAGACCCGACATTCTTACTCCAGATTGAGTGTGTGTGTGTGTGTGTGGGGGGGGGGGGTCCCTCCTAGCATCCGGACACTTTACGGAAAAAGTGACCAGAGCCGCCTCCTCCCCCCCTCCCAAGGCCAGCAGAGGCCTAGCGGTGGTCTGGAGCCAGCCCTGCCCTGCCTGTGGGGCAGCTTCCCCAATGAGCTGTCCTGTCCCTTTCCTCCTGCCCTGGGGTCCTGGGGGACTGGCAAGGGCCTCAACACTCCTGTGCTGGCTAGCCATGGTGCCACTGCCAGCCTTTTCCTTCTCTCCTGGACTGAGCACCTCCCCTGAAGACAGACTCCAGCTTCTCCCAGGCTCTGGGCCCTCTGACACAGAGTGGTCAGTCAACTACTGCTGAGGCCACAGCTCCCACAGCCCTCATCTCCTATCTCCTGCTGACTCCACACTGATCCCAGAGGAACCTCTCAGTGGCCCTTGGTGGTGTTACTTGTATAATAATCCTCATTTTACAGATGAGAACCAAGAAAACCAGAGAGAACATGTCACTTCCCCAAGGATGCACAGCTAGGATGTGACAGAGCCAGGATTTGCACCCAGGCAGTCTGATCCCTGGAGTCACACTTTGAACAGCTTCCTTGTTTCTGTATAGTGATTGTTGCAGCGGCTAACACGCCAAGGGCTTTCCGATCTCTCAGTGTGTTAACTTGCCTGTCCTGTTTTACCTTCCCTGCAGCCCAGAGGGGGAGTCTGAACAGTCTATGGCTTCCTTTGAACAGATGTGGCTCAGAGCACTGCAGTGAAGAATTAGAGGTCACAGAACATCTTTAGGGGCTTGGCCCCAGGACCCTTTGTTTTGGTTCTCTTCCTCCGGACCCCTGCTGCCTGCAAGAACAAGCACCTGCTGCTGACATGATTCCAAAGCTTAATCACACAATCCCGCTGTCAGGTGACCTCACAGCTTCACGTGGGGCTCTAAGGGAAGCAGCCACGTTGGGCAGAAGCAGGTGCCACCCGGCCTGTTTCCCACACCTCTGGCCTCCTGGCAAACCATTTCCCTCTGGCTTCCTGGAAATCAGATGCCAGAGTCCTGCTAGCGTCTCCATGGACAGCATTATTACCGTTAGTGAAGCTGTGTTTGGCTAAAATCTATCTCTAAAACCTCCAAAGGAAATTCACACACCCAGGGGGGCTAATTGCCTCCTAATTTCTATTTGTACAGGCACTGGAGACCTGACCTCACTCTGCAGAGGTGCTGGTCAAAAGCAAGGCTGGGGCCTTGCCCTGGACCAAGGCCATGGGCAACAAATGCTCTGTAACAGCCGTAACGTGCCCGAGTGCAGGAACCAACAGCAACCGGGGCTGGCCCCGGATTTCTGGCAGGCTGGCTGCAGCTGGTTTCCAGCAATCGCCTGCCGAAAATGGAAGGAATGTGGAAACCTGATGGCCTCTGCCTCAGGTCTCAGTGACGGGGAATCGCGGGATGGCTGCGCGTTTTGAGGACTTGGGAAGCCAGAGGGTGCATGGGTAACGCTGGCCTGTGTGATGCTAGGCAGGGACAGTGGGCCCAGCCCTTCCGTTTCACAGAGGGTGAAACCGAGGCCTGGGTTCAAGATGGGGAAGAAAAGGAAGTTGGACTGAAAGTGGGAGGCAAACCAGGGCAGAATGAAGGTAACTGGTCTTTCTATGGTACCCCATTTCTAACTATGGGAAGTGGCCCTGTGGACAGCCCAGTTTTGGAGGACTGAGGGCCAGAAGCCCTACAACATGGGTTGAGGTCATCCACTCTCCCACAGGAGGTCCTGGGGGAGCTGTTGCTCAGAAGCCCCCATGGATGGAAGGAGGTAACCACTGCCCATAGAACAGAGGTATGTGGGGCCTGGCGCCCTCCCTGCCCCAGGCAGGGGCTGCACCACACAGCTCAGCTTTGCTACCTGGAACCGGGAGTGCAGAGCAGACAACCCTGGGGCCGTGTGGAGAGTCCCAGGGCAGCGGCTCTGTAGCTGTGGTGGCTGCTGGGGACTTCAGTCCAGCTAACCTCCCTGCTCTGCTGCCTTGCTTCTGGGACTCCCCACTTCGGTCATGGAACCCCACTCCCCTTGCCCCAGCCCCTGGGTCCTTCCTGGCCAAGAAATCTGGTTCCCCAAGGCTGTAGCCAAGCTCCTGCCTGGCCTGGGCTCTGATGTCTTTCTTGTCTCATCAGCCCCGCAGCAGGTCGTGGGTGAGGCTGTTGGAGCGCAAGCAGGCCGCTGGCCTTAGCAGTGTGGGTGTCCCGCATGGGCAGTGTGGATGACAGTCAGCAGAATGTGGGCAACACAACCAACTCTCTGCCCAGTACTGGGTCATCTACTTAACCTCTCTGAACCACACCTGTGACAGACGCGCTTGACCATCATCATGATGATGGTGGTGATGATGCTAACAGCTATTGCTGTTCTTTGTTGAGCCCCAAAGGCTGGAACACATCACCCAAGAGCCATGATTATTATGTTCTTAAGCACTTACTATATGCCAGGCACTGTTTAAAGTTCCCTTTTTTCATGTGCCTCTTTTAGTCCTTTAGAAGAAGTCTATGACCTACACCCCCCACCCCCACCATGGTACTGGAATCTGAACTCAAGGCCTTGTTCTTTGTAGTCAGGTGCTCTACCACTTGAGCCTTGCTTCCAGACCTTTTTTGCATTGGATATATCTCAGGTACGGTTTCACCATTTTCCCTGGGGCCAGCTTTCCTTGTAGCTAAGACCATAGACACACACCAGACTTCTTTATCGATTGAAATGGGGTCTCACTAAATTTTTTTTGATCCAGGCTGGTCTTGAACCAAGATCCTCCAGATCTCTACCTTCCCAGTACCTAGGATTTCAAGCATGTGCCACCACACCTGACCCGAATTAACTTTTTGACTCTTCTTATTCTTCATAATACCCCATCAAAGGAGGCTTGTGGTGCCAGGATTACAAAACAATTCTCTAAGTCTCTTGGCAAGCTTGTTTTTTGAGGATGAAGTGGCACACATACCCTGGTCTGGTCAGCTCACAGTAGGCAGTCAAGAAGTGGTGGCTCTTGGTGCCCTGAGCACTAGCATGACAGCAACCGCAGCCCTACCACACCACATGCAGATCCTGGTCACCAGGTACAGTCATCTGACCTTTGTCAGTGTTCACTGGAGACATGGTGGGCGAAGCTGACCTCATTTGGGAACTAGCACCTCATGGTGATTCTGCTGTGTACATGTGTGTGTGCATGTGTGTGTATGCATGCATGCATGTGAGTGAAGGAAGACTACTTAAAAACCAGGAGGTTAGAAGCAAGGCCTGGGATGCAAGTCTCACTTTCTGCTTACCACGAAGGAGACACTAAGATTTTGGTTCTCTCCAGGGCTGCACCCAGACGGCACCCAGACTTATGAAGGCCATAAGCTGGGCACCCAAAGCTAATACTTGTAATCCTAGTTACTCAGGAAGCTCAGATCTGAGGACTGAGGTTCAAAGCCAGCCAACAGGAAAGTCTGTGAGACTCTATTTAACCACTCTCTCTAACCACCAAAATGCTAGAAGTGAAGCTGTGGCTCAAGTGGTAGGGAACTAGCCTTTAAATAGAAAAACCTAAGGGATATTGCCAAGGCCTTGAGTTCATGATCCAGAACACACACACACACACACACACACACACACACACACACACATAGGAGGGAGAGGGAAGGAGGGAGAGAGGGAGGGGGAGGGGGAAGAGAAGAGAAGAGAATTGCTGGGTGCTGTGACTCATGCCTATAATCCTAGGTACTCAGGAGGCTGAGATTTGAAGATCACAGTTCAAAGCCAGCCTGGACAGGAAAGTCCATGAGGTTCTTATCTCCAATTAACTACCAGAAAACTGGAAGCAGAGCTGTGGTTCAATGTGAAGGAGGGCTATAGTGCCTGGAGCAAAAAGAGGTCAGGGACAGCCCAGTCCCTGGGTTCAAGCCCCATGACCAACAAAAAAGAAAGAAAAGAAACTGAAGGTTGCCACAGCTCTGCTGCCTGGACATCAGGTATTTACCTGCCCAGGGGTCAGGTGTACACCCACTGTTTTTCTGGGCCTCTTTGGGGGCGTTTGCACTTGTCTGACTCATACAGGTTCTTAATAAATCTGACGGTGATCTTTGATTTCACAAGATCCCTTTGCCAAACTGAAAAACAGGAAGCAGTGCACCTGGGGGGTGGGCGTGGGGGTAGGAGGAGCCCCTTAGGCCATCCCTGCTCCCCACATGCTGAAGAGCAGACACTGCTGACAACCACCACCAGCGTCCAGAGCTGCATTCCAGGCAGGCAGGACAGGTCGGGGCCGGCAGGGTGGCAGGGCGGAAAGCATGGAAAGCATGGAGCAATACGGAATGTGGAACGTCAGGCCAATGCTCCAGCAGCCTCCAGAGGCCAGGGTGGGGAGGACCTCTGAGTTGAGTGAGGAGCTGGGGCTGGCTGGCCACGGCCCTGCCAGGTGAAGCTGCTGAGCACCTAGCTTTAACCCTTTGCTGGGCAGCCCTCAGAAAGCTAATCACACGTGGTGCAGGCAGCCTCTGTAGCCAGTGGGACTGCCCGAGTCTCCCATTTCATGCTCCCTGTTATCATTCTCCTCCCCTCTCCCCAGCCCCTCTTCTCTCCTCCTTGAAGACTAGGAAGGGAGCACCTCACCTGAGGCAGACGAGCGGGATTTAGGGTGAAGTTTTCTATTCGTTGTAGATTCTCAGTGTTATACCTGCGCATCAATCAGCTCTCTTCCCCCACCCTCTCCCTTTCTCTCTCTCACAGGGCTTCCTGCTTTAGCACGCGAGCCACAGCTCCTCATCCTTCTGCACTTAGATTGTTTTTCAGATAGAGTCTCCAGATAACATTCCCTGGGGTGTGCTTTGGACTGCGATCCTCTTTTTATCTCTGATTCCCAAGTAGCTGGGAATATAGGCATAAGCCACCACAACTGGCTGTTTAGAATGAATTTGTTGTAACTTAAAAAAGTATACTTAAACAATACAAATGTGTCTAAAATCAACAAGAAAAGCTTTGAAGGGCCGGTGGGGTATCTAATTCCTCATCTTAAAAGCCCAGGGAAGGGCTTGCTATGGGACAAGGCTCTGGACTACTTGGGCCTCAGCTTTCTGTCCTATCTGTGGGGACCAGGGTCCACCTGGCCACCCACAGTCTGCTGCCTGGTGCTGAGGTCACCTGGGAAACAGACCTCACGAAGTCCTGCCCCTTTAAGAGTGCATCTTCCTCTTTCCCCTGGGACATCTTTCTCCACCCCAAGTGCTGCTGCTTTTAGCCCCTGGCTCTTAGGTAGGGGACACAGAGAGAAGATTTGCAGCATTTGCCAGTTTTCATGGTGTCAGAATTCCCACGGTGGCTAATGAGTGGTCAATTAATAAATATGTAGCTGAGCAGTTATGCTTGCATGCCCGGGTAGATGCCAGCTCCTTTACACTTCTGCTCCAGTCCATAATAGTCTCTTTCCAACAGGATCCTGCGAGGCTCAACTTCCCACGCCCTGCATGCCTGCGTGCATGAATTCACGCACATGTGAGCATGCGCTCGCATGGAAATGTGGGTGCCTCTTCCCAGCTACCAGATTGCTCTGGGAGATGTCAGCAACTCCCACCTGTCTCTAAGTACCAGGCGCCCCATTAGGATTCAGCGCTTGCTTGCTATCTGTGCCTTGAGCACAATTCCTGTAGCTGGGACATTGAGATCTTATAAGCCAGGCGACCTTGGACGAGCCCCTCCATCTCGCTGTGCCTCAGGCTTCCTCATCTGCAAATTGGGTATCGCAACCCATCTGTGTCACAGAGTCGACAAAGCTTACTGTGCAAAGTGCCGGCAAAAGCTTGGCATGGGCATGCCGCCATTTTAATGGCGATGGTTACCCATGGTGGCTGCATGCTTGCCCATAGCCAAAAGGTTCCCTCTGTCCACTGGACAGGTGTCCTCTACATGGACCCCTCCTGAGCCTTCCTGGCCCCGGGATGGACTTGGAGCAGGACTACCCTGCCCCTCCCCATCCCCACCACTGGATTGCTGCGCTGAGGGGCTGTGGTGGCTGGGCCCGGGCTGACCTGTAGTTGCCCCTCCTGGAGGCGATGTGAAGTGGGAGCAGACCGTCCTTGTTGGCCCTGTTGGCGTCAGCGCCCTGGGACAGCAGGAACTCTGCCACATCTTCGTGCTCATTTTTGCAGGCCTCATAGAGCGCAGATGCGCTGTCACTGGCCTGCGTATTAATGTCAGCACCTAGGGTCAGAGAATCAGAGTGGTAAAGCATGGACAGCCCTGCCTTGATGTATGCCTTCCCATGCTGGGCACTGCTAAGCTAACCCCCATGGTCCCCTAGAAAGCAGGAGTCAATTCTAGGGCCACCCCAGATTCCTCAGGAGACTTTGAGACCCAGAGCCCTGCCAGCCTGAGCACAGGTATCTTAGAGACCAACAACTGCATGCAATGACGCCGGCTTTTTACTGAGCACTTACTATGGGCTGGGTGCCTAGCTGCTCCTATCTCTGAATCTATAACCCTGGGACTTTAATGCTGCTCCCAGCTCCAGATAATGTGTTTCAGTTCTCCTAGTTCACACATACTGACCCAAACACAGCCAGTCTGAGGGTAGAGGCCACACTCCTAGGCCTCCCTCTGTGTAAGACACCCAGGCTCTGCTCCAGGAGCAGCCTCCTAGCCCACAGTGAGCTCCTGATGAGAAGAAGCTCCTCATAAATGAAGGCCCCAATCTTTTTATCAGTTGGGATTTGCTGCTTTTTCTGCCAGAAGTGAGATTACCTCCACCCCCTTGGAGGCAAGCCCTGAGCTGTGCGGGTAGGAAGGGGAACTGAGCCTGCCCATATTCTGCCTTCTGCTCAATCTCCTGCACCTTCTGCAGGGTGAGAAGCGTCTGCACGTGGTTCTTCTGCAGAGGGGCCCACAGGAGCCCAGATAGTTGAGGCTCACCAGTATGGGCTGCCATCAAAGGTTCTGCCTGGCAATTTCATGCTCCATGACAGTAGACCAGTTTCTATCCTAGCAGAAACAGCTCAGGCCTTGGCGGCAGACAAGGACAAGTTGAGGTTTCTGGTGGCTTCCTTTATTTTTATTATTCTATTCTTTTATTTTGGGCTGGTACTGGGGCTTGAACTCAGGGCCTGAGCTCTATCGCTTAGGTCATTTTTTGCTCAAGCCTGGAGCTCTACCTCTGTTTTGTATTTCTTGTTCTGTTTTGTTTTGTTTTTGCTGGTTACTTGGAGCCAAGAGTCTCACAGACTTTTCTGCCCAGGCATGCTCTGAACTATGATCTCACATCTCAACCACCTGTATAGTTAGGCTTACAGGCAGAAGCCACCAGTGCCTGGCTCCAGGTAACCTCTAGAAGCCTCAGTTTACCCATCTGTTCACCAGAAGCCAAAATCCCTTGTTGCTGGATGTAAGTATGACATTGTAAGCAAATCTCTCAACACAATATCACAGTGACCTGCCAAAGAAAAGCTACCAGTTAGGTGCTGGTAGCTCACTTCTATAATCCTAGCTACTCAGGAGTCTAAGATTTGAGGACCATGGTTCAAAGCCAGCCTGGGCAGGAAAGTCCCTGAGACTCTTATCTCCAATAAACCACTAGAAAATCAGAAGTGGCGCTGTGGCTTAACATGGAAGAGAGCTAGCCTTGAGCAAAGGAACTCAGGGACAGTGCCCAGGCATAGAGGAAGAGGAAGAGGAGGAGGAGGAGGAGGAGGAGGAGGAGGAGGAGGAGGAGGAGGAGGAGGAGGAGGAGTGGGGAGGAGGGGTGGGAAGGAGGAGGAGGAGGTGAGGGGGGAAGAGGAGGAGGAGGAGGGGGTGGGGGGAGGAGGGGGAGGAGGAGGAAGAGGAGGGGGTGGGGGGAGGAGGAGGAAGAGGAGGGGGTGGGAGGAGGAAGAAGAGGAGGAGGAGGAGGAGGAGGGGGTGGGAGAGAGGAGGAGAAGGAGGGGTGGGGAGGAGGAGGAGGAGGAGGAGGAAGAGGAGGAGGAGGAGGAGGAGGAAGAGGAGGAGGAGGAGGAGGAGGAGGAGAAGGAGGAGAGCTACCACACTTCTCTCAGGCTCTACAAAAGGCAAGGTGTCTCCAGCAAAACTGGCTGCTCACACAAAGAAAATATTTGGACTGAAAAGCAGTCTCAGCCCCCAAAGTGGGAGGAGCAGCCCCTGACACTTCATCTGCAGGAGGCTGGGCAGATGTGTGGAGCTGGCGGGCTCAGCCTCACCCGCTGAGCGCCCTGCCCTCTTCCCAGGGCCTGCTGGACCTTGGACTCCTAGGACCCTGCTTGGGTCGCTTTGTTCTCCTGCTGGTTGGTCCAGGTTTTTCCCTAGAGGGGGCGGGGCACCCTTGGGGTCTGTTTTCCTGACTGCTCAGGCTCCCGCTGTGGACATGGATGCCTGTCTGACACAGTCTCCTGTCGGTCTCTCTCCAGGCCGAGGGGCCGTGCTCAAGCAGGGCACAGTTTGGGGCCAGAGGGAAATAGGGCTGAGTCTAGGCTCAGATCTAGGCACAGATCCCTTCACCCTCCTGAGATGAGCAATCCTTGTGTATTAAATGGGGTGAGGACCCTGCCTCACTCTTATGGCTTTGGGGAAACCTTCAGTGGCATAGTCTGTGGTTGTGCGTAGCAGAATATTCCAGAGCTGCCTGGCCCCCAACCTTTCTGGGACTACTTCCCATAGAGGGGGAAAGGAAATTCCAGGTGTTCTTGAGGGAAAATCACAATACACTTCTGCTCTTCAACCAAAAGAACGTCTTTCTGGGCTTCAGGACCTCTTGCCACTAGGATATCCTAATACAGGCTCTATTGTTTTGGCATCTCCTGTTTAGATTTTTCACAAGCAAAGAGGGAAAAGTCTTGGGTTCAAATCCCAGCTCTGCCAGTAATTCATGGGTGGTGGGGGGTGGGGGGGAGGAGGGTGGCATGTGACATGTCCCTTTCCCATCCTGGATTTCATCACAGCCAAAGGAGGGAGGTGGTCTCACAATCAGCTGACATGCTCTAAGGTGTGGCATGGTTAAAAAACAAAACAAATCATGGTTGGGGCTTCGAGAGGCTAAGAATCTGGCTAGTTCTGTAACTTGATAGACTAAGCCTGCATGGGCGACGGCTCCCGGATGACGATGACACCGGAGGCTCGCCCAGCTGTGCCCAGGGGCTTCACGCCACACTCACCATGCTTGGCCAGGAACCTCAGCGCCTCCAGCTGCCCACTCTGGGCTGCCACGAATAAAGGAGTGATGCCGTAGGCATTCTTGGCCTCCACCTTGGCGCCGCCGCCCACCAGGATCTCCATGACCTCCAGGTCGTTGCGTGACACGGACTCGTGGAGCGCCGTCCAGCCTCGGTTGCAGCGATGGTTGGCATCTGCGTTGTGCTGCACCAGAATCCTCACCGCCGCTGCGTTCTTGCGCTCACAGGCTGCGTGTGCCGGGGAGAAGCAAGCGTGTCGGCAGAACCCCGGCAAGGGCCTGCTCAGCCCTGGATTCATTTGCTGGTTTGTCCATTCGTTCACTCATCCATCCATCCATTAGCCATTCAATCAACAAGTGACTACAGGGGGTCTGTATCAAGCTCTGTCTCTGCTCTGAACCTAGAGCACTTGATTATAATAATGCTGACATTAGCAGTAGCCTTTGCTGATAGAAAGAGAAGGCTGGATCTGTGTTCCACTCTCTGTTAAGTGCTTTCCACGATTGATTGGCTAGCTTGATCCCCTCAACTGCCCTTGTAAAAGGTGATGTTACCCCTTCCACAGACAGGAAACCAAGGTAAGTGACTTGCACAGATAGTATGTGGCTTCTCTCCCCTGGCATGTTCCAGGATGTCCTTAACTTGTCTCCCCCTCCAATGCTACCTGCTTTGGTCCCCCCCATTACTAAGACCAGAAGAACCTTCTAGCGTATGAGTAGACAGCACCATACATCTATCTGTTCAACCCTCCCCCACCTCCAAAGGTTACTCAATTAATTTGGGATAAACCTGTGTCATCAGTGCAGCTTTTATTTCTCAACCTGCTCAACCCCTCCTCTTCCTGTTTCCTCTGTCTTGACACCCCAAAGGTGTCTGGCCCCCGGGTCCCCCCTGAGGGCTGCTCTTGGTGTTGGACACAGGTCAAAATTATCCACCGGGGAAGCCAGGGTCAGTACCGGGGGAGGAGACATGGGGTCCGGGAGAAGAAATGTTATGGAACGTTCCCAATGGGAGCAGGAGCTCTCCGCCTCTCCCAGCCTTGTCAACTTAAAATAGGTCACCAAAGCTCCGGAGAGGATGCTGGGAGGCCCAACCCAGGGAGAGCAGGGAGGCACAGACTGGGCTTGGCACACTGCAGAGCCAGGGCCAGGCTCCTGGCTGTGGCTCACGCTTGTTCCTGGGAGCTCTCTTTGGGACGGCGGAGGCCCCAGGGCAGGTGCTGGTGCATCCACGCGAGTGGACAAAGACCCTTCTACCCACAGATCACACTTCTACAGCAGATCATGACCCGCTTCCCAGCCCCCACCGCCCACAGAACATTCTGAACACCAGATACCAGGCGCAGGGGAGCCAAGGGTGTCTGTAGTTCTCACAGTACAAAGGCATTGGAGTTTATGGAAGCCCCAACTGATTTCTGAAGCAGTGGCATGAGCTAGATTATGAGAACGTCGGGGTTCAGAGCATGGTGCTGCTTTCCTCCTCCCTGAGCTGAGACCCCGAGACTCCGTTTGCTGGCTGTGTGAGCTTGGATAACTCAGTCTCCATCTCTGTACCTCAATCCTCATCCATAACCTGGGAAGGTGGCAATGCCTCCCTCCCTCCCGCACAGATGGGAACGAGGGCATGCATAGAAGGTGCCCACCAAGTGCCAGTTGTTTTTCATCCAGATGCCTGTGACCCTGGGCCCTGCTAGGGCAGCCAACTAATATCTTGAATGATGAATGGAGCAAGAAAAGAAGAATCATTGTTTTTTCCTGAACAAATATTCCAAGCCAGGTGTCAGTGGCTCACAACTACTCATGAGGCTGAGATCGAAGGATCGTGGTTGAAAGCCAGACTGGGCAGGAAAGTCCATGGGACTCATCTCCACGTAATCACCAAAAAGCCAGAAGTGGAGCTGTGATTTAAGTGGTAGAGCACCCAGCCTTGAGTTAAAAAGCTCAAGGACAGCACCCAGGACCAAAAAAAAAGCCAGGAGTGGAGCTATGATTCAAGTGGTAGAGCACTAGCCGTGAGCAAAAATCTAAGCAGGAGCGTGAGGTCCTGAGTTCAAGCCCCACTACAGTGTCTCACCACACACACACACACACACACACACACACACACACACACACACACACATCCCAGAGGTGCACACCCTCCTGTCGCTCAACTTTTGCCCATGCTGTGTCCCAGCTTGGCCAGCTGGTAAATCCTTCTCTTTGGATTCAGCTCTGCCATCTCCTCCCGGGCATTCCTTCCCCTGTGTTCCCCCAAGGCCTTTGCCAAGCCCCTCATTGCTGTTGACTGAGTGGGTGCCCGGCTCGGGAAAGCCCACAGCATGGGCTGTAGCTTCTCATCCTTGAGCCCAGTGCCCTCGGCATGCCTGGCTTGGGACAAGATTCTGAGCCATGACATGTGAATGAATGATTCAAGTATATAAATGAGGCATCTGAGAACATCCTACCGCGGGGCTGTGCTGCAGCAAACCCAGGACCCACCTTTGTAGAGTGGTGTCTCGCGAGACTTGTTGGAGATGTCAGGCTCTGCCCCAGCCTGGAGCAGTGACAGCAGGCAGTCCAGGTGTTCTCGACATGTGGCCAGGTACAGAGCCGTCTCTTCCTGCAGTGTGCGCTGATCGATGGCCCCCGGGTATGCTGGAGAGAGACCAGGGACTCCATGAAGAATGGTACCCCCCCTCCAACACATAGACCTCCTCACCACGCTCACCCCCGCAATTCCAACGATTCATCTGTCATGGGATCTTTTTCCTTGTCCCGCTACCTCCTCTGGGAAGCCTTCCCTGATTGAGCCCCCAAGTCCTCAAAGTTCTTGTCTTCTGTTCCCTCCCACCAGTCACTGCTGAGCATGGCGGGAGGATGCCCAGTGGGCTCTCTTCTGGGGGTGTGGGCTGCCTGAGCACCTTGCTGACCCCTCCTGCAGGTATTACCCATCTGAATCTGCAGGGGGGTGAGAGGAAATAGGGTGAGCTTAGGGTCCCACAGCTGGTAGGGACAGCCTTGGCAGGGCACCGCAGCAGCTGCGGTATTTTCCACACCAAATCATCCTCTGGAACATTCTGGAACAAGTTGGCCGCGGCTGCCCCCCAAAGTCAGTCCTCCCTCCTTCCTTTTCTAGGAATCAGGCTGCTCTGCCTGGGAGGCCTGGAGAGATGGAGTCAGGGGTGGGAACAAGCACCCCGCCCTGATGGCCCACCCCACCCTGACTGTCCACCCTACCCTATTCAGAGTTCCAGCCCTTTCCCCTGATGGCGTCCCTACCCCAGCAGCGCCGCCCCTCACCTTGCTGCAGGACCTTCAGGCAGCCCAGCTGGCCATAGTAGGCAGCCTCGTGGAGTGGCAGCCAACCCTCCTTGTTGGGCTCAGCGAGGTTCTTCCCATCCTTGATCATGACCTTCAAGGCCTCTTCATTGCCTTCCTTGATGGCCTTCAGCACAGGGTCCATGGCCCTGCGAGAGCAAGAAGTAGCTCCAGAAGAGGCCAGGCCAGGGAGCCCCTGTCCCCAAGGCAAGCTGGTGGTCAGGAGCCCCTGCTGGCTTGTCCCAGCTGGTCCCAGGACAGGTGCTCAGTTCCTACACCCCAGTGGCTATGAGAGACTTGGGCATCCCCTCTGTCCCTGTGGCTTTCCATGGCTGAAGCTGATGTTATACCAAGAGGGTTCAGGCTGGGAGCCCCAGCGGCCAATGGCGTGGCGGATATGCCATCCATGAATCCAAGGCTACCTTGACGCAATGGCGTCCTCAAGGGGGCGCTCCAGTGCACACCGGCACCAGGGCGCTGGTGACACAGAGGCCTGGGAGTAATCCCAGGACTCTCCGTAGCACCCTTCTTTTGTCCATCCTTATCCTCACCCCTGGTCCATCTAGCAGATTGTCTTAAAAGTGTAAATCCTTGACAGGTTAATTCCTGGGAAGCCTTTACAGTGTAAAACTTTGAAATGTTAAGAATTCAGGGCTGGCCTTGAGCTGAAGAGCTCAGGCACAGCACCCAGGCCCAGAGTTCAAGCCCCACGACTGCCAAAAATAAAAATAAAAAGTTCAGGGCTTATGTGAAGTACATCTCTGCTCGGCTTGTTAAAGTCACTCTGTTCATTCGTTCATTCTTTGAGCTCCCCTCCCCATCATCAATGAGTTAGTGTGATTCCCAAACATACTTCCCAAAGAGGAGAGACTGGAGGCCAGCCTGGTGCCCAGCACTTCCTCTACGGGAGGGGAGGGGAGGGGGAAGGGGCACGGGTGCTTCGGATAGGATGGGTTCTAAGGGTCCCCAACCCCAGCCCTCGCCCCCTGTCTGACACTTACTCCAGCACCCGAAACACAAAGCACTTCCTTCTGACTCGGCCTTTCTGGTTCTTAATAACATCAGCTTGCACATAGCAGTGAAACCGCAAACCCAGCAAGGAACCGATAAGTCTCCACTCAGCACTGCTATGGAGTTCCACTTAGAGCAGCCCCTCCCCGCCCCCACCTCAGGAAAAGCCCAGAGGGGTAAGTACACACTGCCGAACTGGAAGAGAAGGGCCTGGCTAGCCTCGTGGGTTTGGTAAGGGACACTCTCAGGACCAGCAGCCCATCGTGGGTGCCTCCGCTATGGCACACGGACCTGGAAGGCTTCCCCATGAATTCAGACACAGTCCCTTCCTCATGACGGGGAGGGGCTCACTGGGGGGGGGGGGGCAGGCCACTGGGAACTAGCAAGCTGAATGGAAACTACTTTCCTTCTCCAATCCTGTGTTGCACCGAAGTGGGGTCTGGGGTGGGGGTGGGGGCAGCTCCTCTCCAGCTGTCACGGGGAAGTGGCAGAGACCAGAACAGGGTCTCTCTTCAGACTGCCAAGCCCGGGAAGCTCCAGGGACACGGTGGCAACAGGGTGGAAAGGCTGGGAAGGAGTGTGCTGGCCAGCTGCCCCTCTGCTCTCCGCAGTAGGATGGGGCACTGGCCTTGGCATCCTCTCTGGGGGCCCCTGTTTTGCTCTTAGCTGCTTCCAAAGTCACTCTGGGGTACAGAGGAGGGAGAAGAAGCAGCTATTCTCCAAGCCCGTTAGCCTAGAGCCCGGGTGCCCGGCAGCTCGAACCCTCTGTGGCTTGGATGATTCTGAATTTTGGCATGTGACACCTGAAAACAGCAAAGCCAAACACGAGCTGTGGGTGGAGAGATTTAGGATTTTCTCAGATGGACCCCCCAAAGAGGGACCTGGGGAGACAAACAGTAGATAGGGAGCACCTCAGTTCTGTGGGCCTGCTCCCCTAGGTCTTCCATCTGCTGGAACCCCAGATCCAGGCCCCGTGGGATACCTCAGCACCAGCCCCACCCGCGATCTTCCAACGCACCCATTCCAGGAAGACCGTGATCTCTGGCCACAGCCCAGCTCAGTGGGGGCAGCAGAATCTAGAAGACACATTTTTGGGCGGACTTGACCTGGAAGATGCCAGCTTGGTGCCTCCTGCTGTCCTGAAGCTGAGGACCTGCTTCCCACCCCCATCCCTCTTGCCACCCCGGGAGGGGGGGTGAGCTTGGCGACGGCCCGGGGGCTGGTGGGGGTCACTTACGCCAGCTGGGAGGACTTGAACAAGCTGCTGTTGTACTTCTGCATCACCCCCTGGAACAAGCCCATGGGCGCTCGGGCCGGCGGGGGCTCGGGGGGCGCCGCGGACCTGGAGGGTACAGAGCAGGAGTGAAAGAGGGAAAAGTAGTCTGCATAGGAGAAGCAGGTCATGGTGGGAGGCAGAACTGAGGATGGAGAGAGAGAGAGAGAGAGAGAGAGAGAGAGAGAGAGAGAGAGAGAGGCTGAGTGACAGACAGACACAGGGCTCTGAACCAAAGCAGATGGCCGAGTCCTCTGTGTGTGCTGGACACAGCTGCTGTGTCTCTGGATTATTTTTGGCCCTTGGAGGAAGCCCTGGGAGATTTAAATGACCATATAAGACAACAATGAGGTTAGCCTCACCCCCGCCCCTGCCGCCCCCCTCCCCAGCCAACCACAAGGGCAGCAGATAGGAAGCAAGGTGACATTCTTCACCCCACAAGATGTGAGATGTGATCAGAAGCAGGTCAGGAAGGATGGAGGTAGGTCCTAGCGGGGCTGGACCAGAGACCCGGGGGGCCAGTGGGAGGCTGGGGAAGCTGATAGGCCAAGCCCTGGGCTGTACCTTGTCAGTCCCTACGAGGAGGGCACCCCAAGCTCCAGACCTGACCCTGACGGTCTAGAGGTTACAGCAGACGGGTGCACACACCGGGCCTTGGAGTTAGACACAGGTGCAAATTCAGAGGCTGGGTTAGCCATGTGACCTGGGACAGGTTCACCTTCTCGGGGGCCTTAGTGTGAAAAAAGTTTAACTGTTCTAGTTTGGTGCAGGAATGTCTCTTAAAGACTCAAGGGCTGAAGGATTGTGCCTTCTGTCTGTCTGTCTGTCTCTTTCTGTTTCTTTCTTGTGTCACTCTGTGTCTCTGTGTGTATGTATCTCTGTGTCTGTCTCTCTCTGTCACCCTGTGTCTGTGTTTGTGTGTCTCTCTGTGTGTCTGTCTGTCTGTCTGTTTCCTGGCTGCCACAGGTAGGCGGTCTCCTCTATCCCCACGCTTCCCTGCCCTCATGATGCTCTGTCTTACTTTGGGGCTCAAAGCAATGAAGTCAGCAACCATGGACAGAAAGCTCTGAAGCCATGAGCCAAAACAAATCTCTTCTCCTTGAAGTTGATTTTTCTCAGGAGTTTTGTCAGATTAACCAAGGCATTCATTTACAGATGAGGAAACTGACACGCTGAGTGTGTGTGCGTGTGCGTGTGTGTGTGTGTGTGTGTGTGTGTGTGTGTGTGTGTGTGTTATCCAGAGTCACATGCCCCAGCTCAGTGAACAGAGCTGAGGCTCAGGCAGGCTCTCACATCGCTCACTCCCCCAAAGGCCTGGCCCTTTCAGGCCTCTTTATTCTCTCTTCAGCTCTAGGCTTCCACATGTGCATCTCAGTGCCTTCTTCATGTCTCTCTTTCCTTGTTTATAAAATTGTAGTAGGACCAGACTGGAGTTTCCCACCATCTGTATGGTGTGCAGATTCTGAGTTTGAAAAAGGTCCAAAAGCTGCTGCAATGGGATGGCTATGCCCAGCCCGGCCCAGCCCAGGGCCCCTCTAGGCAGACCTCGAGAGAGCTGCTGTCCAGGCTCTCCCTGCACTTGCTCCTGTCCAGGAGAGATGAGGCTGGGGTGCGGTGGAAGGCAGACAAGGCAGGCCCCTGCTGTGAGCTGGAGCTCTGTGCTCCCCAGGAAGCCCTGGCCTCTCAGTCCTTGCATTTGTTTGAATGTTTTTAGAGAGATAATACACATTGGTGAAAAACTGTTGTGCAAACCTAAAACTAAGACTCGTTCTGCCTAGTAACAATAGCAGTGGCTCACGCCTGCAATCTTAGCCACTCAAGAGGCTGATAGCTGAGGACCTGGGTTCAAAGCCAACCTGAGCAGACAAATCCAGGAGACTCTCACCTCCCATTAACCACCATAAAACAAAAACAAAAAGGCAAAACCCAACCCAGAAGTGGACCAAAAAACCAAGCAAGAGCTAGAGGCCTGAGTTCAAGTTTCCGTACACACACACACCAAGGTTGGTGCTTCGGTGGAGCGCGGAGGCTAACGTGGGTGGAGTGGCGTGTTGTGGGTGGAATCCCTGCTCTGGCGTGTAGCGCCAGTGTTTCTGCGTTCATCCCACACCTGGCCGCGTTCTGTCCTGTGGCCACCTGGGAGGGGAGGCGGGGTGCACTGCCATTCTGCAGGTGAGGAAACGAGGTGTCACCCAGCAGAGATTTCCCACGCTGGCTCTGTCCCTAGCCACTGCCAGGCACTGGGGATGCAGCTCAACAGTCACATTCCCCGTGGCTCCTGAAGATGGACACAGGTCACAGTGGGTGACAAGGACACACACAGGGGAAGAGCCATAGGCAGGGCTGAGATCAAGGCAGGAGGACTGGGGCTGGGGGTGGGGCATTGATTAGGTTCGGGGGGCCAGACAGGGCTGTGAGTCCGACCAGATGGGGAGTCGCCCCCTAAGAGGCTGCGTGTGCTCTTTTGGATCCAGGCTGGAGGTCTCACTTCTCAGGGGCCTGGGGCAGGGGAATCTCCAGCAGAACCTTTGCTGCCCTGAACCATCAGAGGTGGCAGGCAGCTGACCTGGGCAGGATGTGGCTGCTGACCACGCACTAGAAGAGGCCACGTGGGGCCTGTCTGGTCTGTATGCCCATGGCTGTATCTCCCAGCCGGTGCGCACCTGTTGGCCATTGAGAAGCTACATCCAGGTGCCTGGATGCACCTAGGCTGCTCAGCGCACAGCAAACATGGTGGCCTGCAGTGATGTCTACCTCGGAGCGCACAGGAGCCCGAGCCAGGTCAGGCTTCGTCAATTCCTGCTTTGTCTTCTTAGAAATGTGACTTAAAATAAAATGCAGAAGTTGAAAGGCTATGAAGAGCCAGCTTCCCAGCCCCCTTTGGCTGGTCTGACTATGGAGCCTGGGTCTCCCTCACTTTAGGGGCACGTGGACTGTCACCATTTTGATCCCAAGAGCGTGGTAAATTACATCTCCAGAGCATTGCATTGGTTTCAAAGTGCATCCGTTTGCTCCTTAGGTGCCTACAATGACACCTGCTCTCCGCTGGGCACTGAGGTCACCAAAGTGAAGAGTACCCCCTCCCCCATCTTAAAGACCTGGCAAAGGAGTAGGGGACACTCAGGAGACCCTCCCAGGGTGGCACCAAAGCTGGCTGAGGAAGCAGTCTTGGCATTGATGTCCCTGTGACTAGGGGGCTCATGCTGTGTTTCTGAACCTGACTGGTCATATTTGCATTTTTAAACAGACAGCAAGGTGGACAGTGTTCCAGTGGTGGTAGAGTGCTTGCTTGCAATGAATGGGGCTCTGGGTTCAATCCCTGGCACTATCAGAGAGAGAGAGACAGACAGACAGGCAGACACATGACATAGAGACATAGAAAGAGACAGAGAAATGACCACAAGGTCAATAGAGCAAGCTTTGATTACTGCCATTTTAGGAATAAGGCCACTGGGGCTCAGAAAGGGAAAGCAACTTGCCTAAGCTTGCACATCCTGTAAGGAATGGTGATAGGATCCTAGGATCCAGCCTCTAAATCTGCCCTTCGCTTTCCACAGACTCTCCATTCATATCCATCCATTCACTCACCCATTCGTTAGCTCACACGTGACTCTTGGGGCCCTGCCATGAGCCAGCCCTGGGCTCTCAAGGATAGAAGGGGGACTGAAGTCTTTGCCTCCGAGGGATTTTCAGGCAAGTAAGAATTAATTGTAAGTCGTAGTCTGGACTCTACAGGAAGGGCCAGCGGCCGGCTTGCACGGGGAGCCGGTCAGGGCAGCATTTGCTGAGGAGGTGACAGTCAACCTGAGAGAGAGCGGCCTCCAGGGATGCGTGGACGTCCTGTTCCAAAGGCTCCTGCAGCCGGGGATGAAGCTGCTACTCTGGGGTGAAACCCACAGGGCGCTTGGTCATGCCTCGGTGTGTGTGTTTTCGGGGACTGTGAACCTCTGGGGATGGGGGTGGGGGTGATGTAATGAAGCCAAACCCCACTTCTAGGTGGAGGAGGAAGAAGCAGAGAGATGTCAGTAGAAGCAGCAGTTTGGCTGCCTGAGCCTCGGCGCGCACACGCTCAGTCTGCGTTTTGTCATCTGTTAAATGGGTGCCATAGGTCCTTGGCAGGGCCCTGCCTTCATGGAGGGCATGCTGCTTCTTTCTCGGCAGAGCTCCCTGCGGGGAGAGAGGACCTGGCCGCAGCCTCTTCCTCCTCCGTGGCTCCTGGCTGAATCTTAGACAGCTTCTTCCCCCAGAAGTGGGGGGAGGGGCCTCGGTTCTCCCATTTCTAGGGGTCTCAGGACCCCCCCCCAGGGGAAGGGCCCCTTCTGAGGAAGGCTCCCAGCCCCGGGGACCCCGTGCTGCAGACAGGCCCCGGACGGCAGGCCTGTCTCTGGAGGGAGGTGGCCCCATCTTGATCTGGTCTCCTCCTGAGAAAGAGGAACCTGTGGTCTGACTTCAGCTGAACTGCCGAGAACAGGAACCAGCAGCACAGCTGCCAGGAACCTAGGCTGGGTTGGGGTTTCTGGTTCCGAGGCTTGATGCTCTCAGCTCAAGAACCTGAGTCCCCATCCTCTTTCTGGGCCGCCCCCCGCCCCCCGCCCCCACCATGAGACGGGTCCCTCACTGGGGGTGGCCTGGCCTGACAGCCTTGGCCAAGGCCATGGTCACTTTGGAGGAGAAATCTGGAAGGTTCCATCCATGGGGAAACCAAGGCTGAGACACCCATCCCCACCCTTTAACCCCGTCAGCCACTCTGGGAAAAGTCTGCTCCCAGAGATTCTTAGTAGAGAAGGAAGAGGAGCTTTTAAGAGGTTGAGTGCTTTGCCAGGGTCACGCAGGGGTCAGGTGAAGACAGTGAGAATTTTTTTTTTTTAATTTTTGGTGCCAGTCTTGGGGCTTGAACTCAGGGTCTGGGCACTGAGTTTTTATACTCAAGCCTAAAGCTCTACCACTTGAGCCACAGCCCCACTTCCGGTTTTTAGATGGCTCATTGGAGATAATCGTCTCACGGGCTTTCCTGCCTGGGTTGGCTTCCAACAGCAATCCTCACATCTCAGCTTCCTGGGTAGCTAGGATTACAGGCGTGAGCCACCAGCACCTGGCGTGTGTTTCTCTGTTTGTTAAAGTGATGCTTAGAATATTTAAAATGGTACCCATGGATTGTGGTTAGGGCCGGGTCGTAGTGGGCTGTTGCTGCTACTCTTAGTGTGATAAGGCAGGGCTGAGATGGGGAACTGGGAAGAGGACACAGGGCTGGAAAGATTTGCTGGGCAGCAGATGCCCTTTGATTCTGGATGTGTTCTCTCCAGTGGAAAGTGCTGGTCTAAGTCAGAGCCTCACTGCCTGCATTCAAGAACAGAGTGATGGGGCCGGCAACTCCTGTATCCGCAACGCCCTGTCCTCACCCTGTGATCCTGGACCAGTTCTTCAGCCTTGAGTCTGTCTCAGCGTTGAGACAGTCCTGGGACACCCTAGGTCTTTAAGAGGATTAAGTGAAAGGTGTGTGCGCATGGTTCTGCTTTTGTGGAGCCAACCGACCTCACATAAAACATATTTGCAGGGCTGGGAAGGTGGCTCAGTGGTAGAGCGCTTGCCTCGCATGCATGAGACCCTGGGTTCGATTCCTCAGTACCACATACACAGAAAAAGCTGGAAGTGGCACTGTGGCTCAAGTGGTAGAGTGCTAGCTTTAAGCAAAAGAAGCTCAAGGATAGTGCCAAGGCCCTGAGGTTAAGCCCCAAGACTGGCCAAAAAAAAAAAAAAAAATATATATATATATGTATATATGCATATATGTATATATACATATGCAGGAAAAAAGAAGTCTCTTCTGAATGTTGCAAACTCATTCCTTATCATCATTCTCTAGGCAGTACAGAGAACGATTTACTTTACCTACTGCGTGATAGGGACTGCAGTCACCTAGAGATGCTTTACAGCATGGGGCAGGCAGGGAAGTCCTGTGTGAACACAAGGGTGTTTTACGTAAGGGATCTGAGTGTCTGGCTTTGCTATCTATGGGGTTGTCCTGGTCTCAGACTCCATCTGACTCTGAGGGGAATCTGGCAGGTGCAGTTAGAGTTCAGCAAGTGGAGATGACAGATGTAGATCACCCAGTGTGAGAAGTCCCTTCCCCCCCCCCCCCGCCCCTGGCCCCCTCCCCGCATCCACCAAGAGTTTGGTCAGGAGGAAGGGCGCTCGAGGTCTGCAGCTTGTAGGTGCCCCGCAGGCCTGGGAGTCCCCATTCCGCCCAGCAGCCTGGCCTGGCTCACCTGGTCCATGGGTAGAAATGGGCGGGTTGTTGGTTGGTCCGGGTGGGCGCCGTGGCCTCAGTGGGGCCTCGCGTCTTGTCTGCCAGGCTCTGCTCGATGGCCAGCTGGACCTGCTCCTCCTCGCTCAGGCTGCTGTACAAGCTGTACTCCTCATGCCACCGGGCACTGCCCTGAGCGCTGACCTCCGTCGCCATCTCCTCCACCTCTCACTCCGGCCTCCAGAATGGCTGTTCTGGAGGTGAGGGGTTCAGTTCAGGGAGGGGACGCCAGAGAGAAAACACTGGAAGGAGACCAAAGCCTGCCTGGTCACTGCATGTTTTACCAGATAGTTGAGGTTATCCACAGGGGAGGGGAAGTTTTATTTCCTACGCAGTCACATATTCATTTATGTATTTGTTTATTTGGTCACATGATCCATATCCATCTGTCCATCCACCCACCATCCATCTACCCATCCACCCATCCATCCACCATCCATCCATACACACATCCATCCATGCATCTATACATCTGTTCATCCATGAATCTATCCATCCATTCATCTACACATCTACTCATCTATCTACCCATCCACCCATTCAGCCACCCACCCGTCCAACCATTCATCCATCCATCCATCTACCCATTCATCCATGCATCTATCCACCTCTCTCCTCTATTTACCAATCTACCCTTCCCTCAAGTTATCCAGCTACACATTTATCTTCTTTAATTTCTCAAACATCTGTCTACGCACCCACTTATGTGTCCATCCATCTGCCCATCCATTCACCCATCCACCCATGGGCCCAAACTCCACCTACTCCACCCGTCCATTTTTCCTCTACCCATCTATCCAGCACCCGACTATTTAGCTCTTCTGCCCCTCAATGCTCACGTGCCTATTCCGCCTTCTCCTCGCCCATCCATCCCTTTGTCTGTACACCATGGGTCTATCTCTGTTACCCATCCTCCTTTCTGTCGGCCCACTCACCCCTTCATCCTTCTATCCTCTCATCCTTCCACATTTACATCTATCCACATATTCACTCTTCCACTATTCACTTTCCCATTCCAGACAGCACAACTATAGATGTACACATGCATAGATTACAAAAAGGCTGTTCATTGAGAAAGTTCTCCTTGTCTAGAGCTCTTCCTGAGAATGCAACACTAAGCAAACAAGAGTGATCCAAACAAACGGCCCCCAATCCTGCGCAGATGGAGCACACGCAGCAGTGAGCACATTGCTTCCTCCCATACCAGCAGCATCCTCTCCTGGCCACTTTCCACTTCGCGGTGGGAGGGCTGAGAAAAACGAGAGATGAGTCACACCCAGACTCACTCTTTGAGACCTCATTAAAACCAGCCATTACAATAGTTCACTGCCTTCCTCAAGAATTCAAGAATGCCTCAGGAAAAAAAAAAAAAAAGGACTGGTGGAGGGAACAGCTTTAGGAAATGAAATAAAATCGACTCAGCCTGACTTGCGTTTTGCCTGACTGACTTGTGAGTGATGCAGGCCAATGGACGGACATTAGAATCACGAGTAAGGTCGAAACACCCCGAATACCAGGACTATACTCTGGTTTGTTCAACAAATGCGTGTTCCCCTCACCCACCCCCAGAAACATTCTCCCTTCCCCCATCCCTTCCCCATTGCTGCTGGACCCAGGCTTATCCAGCTAGCTCTGGTGTGTGGATGCCAGGGAACAAGGCACAAGCAGACTCATGACCCGAGCAGCCTTGTGTGACAGGCTTTGCTCTTGGTCTTCCCAGGGAAGCTCCTACCTTGCAGCCTGGGCCCCAGGAAAAAGTCAGGTAGGTAGGCCGAGAGCCAACCTGCCAACCTGTGTCCCACGGGGCCTGCGGTCCGCAGCCCAGTCTGCCAGCCCTGCAGGACTCAAAGTCTCAGAGCATGGGGGTCGGGGATGGGGAGTGCCCCACTGTGCTGGGTCCCTCGGGCGCTCATTAACTGAGACCCAGAGGACGAGGTGAGCACTTCGCGGAGAGAACAGCCAAAAGGCCAGCAGCCAAAGATGAAGGCGTTTCCCTTCATTCATGTTTGGGGCCCGGGGGACGGGGAGGAAAGGCAAATGAAACTCCAAAGCAGTACCTCTCTGTACCCACCAGCGCAGCTCCAGGGAGAAAAGATGGAGACTGCCAGCGGCAGGGAGGGTGTGGGGTGACCGCAATTCACCCCAACATTGGAGGGGACATCAAGTCGCAAAACTGCTCGTGGGTGGGGAGGAGGGGGGAAGGGATGGTTTTGCTACCAACGAGCTCAAAGCTCCATGGCTAGCTGTACATCCCAGACAATGACGGATGTATATGCACCAAGGGCAAGGCCAAGACCTCATCACAGCCCTGTGTCTACCAGCGTGCAAAAGGCTCAGCCACAGACGCGGGCCTGGGACAGGGCCCGCACACCACAGACACAAACAGCCTCTGGACACGGCACAGACCCGCCGTGCCAGCCACACAAAGTAAGTACTCTCCGTGGGCTCTGAGAACAGACAGACCAGTGAGAGGAATGAGCGACGTCGCTCCCGCTTTGGGAGGGGTGCATGGGGGCCCCTCTGGGGTGGGATGGGGGCATTGCTCCATGTCTCTCCATCCCAGGAGTTGCCTGCTGGGGTTCACTGGAAGAACCCTGCCACGCGGTACGCGTGGGGTCTGTGCAATTCCACGCCCGTCCATTCTGCTAGAATAACCTCACCGCTTCAAGATCCCTTTCTGAAAGGGCTCGGGCTCCATCTTAGACCATTGGGTAACCCCCTTTTCCCAGGAGGGAGGGCAGGAGGGAAGAAGGGACACGCACTCAGACAAAGGCAGGATGGGCCCCCGGGGAGGAGATCCCCTGCCCAGCCCCTCACAGGGGTTCTGCTTTAGTCTCTGTGGCAGCCCCCAACTCCGGCTCCATCAAGACCCAGGGAGGCGTTGCTTGGCCCTTCTGGTCTTTCCTAAACACAGCTGGTTGCAGGTCACAGAACCCTTCCTCTACCTGACAGAACAGAGCTCCTGCCCCAGCTTCCTGTCCTCTGAAATCTGGTCCCTATCGCTCTTCCGGTCCCCCCACCTCTTCCGGTTCTCACAGCTCTTCCTGCTCCTCCTCTGCATGCCTGACCCTCCCTGTGAGGTAGACGGTGCGCCGATCTTCCAGCACGTCAGAGGGCCCTGCCCCCGTGCCCTTGCTCAGAATGCCTCATGTGTCTCCCTCCTGTCTGCACTCAAAATTTCTCCTCCCTCCTCAAGAAACCAGAGCGTGTGCCCCTTTTCTGGGCAGTCCACCCAGATTCTTCAGAAAGAGGAATTCTCTCTGGGCGGAGGTCCGCAGCACACGTGTGCCCTTGAACTTTGCCTCCCTCCCCCAAGCTAGTAGCTCCTGTGAAAAGGTTGCAGTTCACTTTAAGGCCCAGCCATGTCTCCATTCCCTTGGAACGGAGCTCAGCTTTGTGCACTGTATCTCTTGTGGGGATGAATCGTGACAAGACAATATCGTCTGGGGGCAGACATGTAGCCAGTTCTGCCTAAATAGAAATATTGCCGGTGTCCCCAGGAAGGATTTTGTTTCCTAACGTAAGGAAGAATAGTGGAGAAAATAATGCCTTGCCCCCAGTCCTGTCTCTGTTATATGAAGACTTGATGCTTACCGCGATGGCAGCCATCTTGTGACTGTGTGTTTGACAGTGACTACACATGAGGTCCTTCATTAGAATCATTAGAACCAGGGCTGAGGGCTTGGCCCCCTCTTGGCTTGTTTGTGCACAGGAGGCAGCCCTGGGCCTCTAGACCAGGGAGAGATCTCAGCCTGAGTGAGTTTGATTCCCAGATCCGAGGGGAAAAAACAAAGACTGAAGATCTTTGTGGGTGAAGCTGCAGTCAAACCCCTCATGATGCGGGGGGGGGGGCAGTTTCCTGGCCTGGATGAGTTTTGAGAATGGGGTGAGGTGGGGTCCCTTCCCGTGAACCCCCAGCTTGGGGCTCTGGTCCTGAGGTGCTTAGCGTTCCTGTTTGGAGTTGGGACTGAGAAGCCCAGCTCCCACATGGCCCTTGTGTCCACACAGGGGAGGGGGGGGCCTGCGGCCTCCAGGCACCCCATCCCTGCTGCCCAGGTCAGGGTCCTTCACTCTATTACAGAAAGAGCCTGGGTTGCAACGGAGAGACAGACGAATCAGCCCCTCCCTCACTCCTGTCCGAGGCCCTCAGTTTCTCCATCTGTGAACAGGCAGGGTGAAAGCTGGGCACTGGTGGCTCAAGCCTGCAATCTGAGCTATTCAGGAGGCTAAGATCTGAGGATTGTGATTCAAAGCCAGCCTGGGCAGAAAAGTCCATGAGACTCTTTAACTCTAACCACCAAACAAGCCAGAAGTAATAGAGCACTAGTCTTGGGTGGAAAAGTTCAGGGACAGTGTCAGGCCCTGAGTTCAAGACGCAGTACCAGCACAAAAAAGCAAGGGGGGTGGGCAGTCAGAATGGCTGAGGGCCTGTCCCCTGAGCCCTTCCCAGCTGGGGTGCCGCACCGTCAGGCCTGGCTCCCATTCCCTCCCTTCCTTCCTGGGCCCTGGCTCCTGCCAGCCTTGATTGAGCCAGGTCTGCATTCGGTGGAGTAGGGAGGACCCGGGGAGAGTGGCTGGAGCTCCAGCCTGGGGTCTGGAGCCTCAGGTGCAGTTGCAGTTCTGCTGCGTCCTAGCTGTGTGACCTTGGACAAGTCACTTCCCCTTTTTGGGCCTCAGTTCCTTCTCCATAAAATGAGAAGAGAAGGGACCTCCTGGATCTGGAAAGGCATGTGGGTCAGGCACACCTGGGCCGTTCTTCGGGGGTGTGGCCAAGATGGGCTAGTCAGCCATGGTCTCCAGGCAGAGGCTGGCCTCAGCCCCTCCCAGGGCATGTCCTTCCTGGGCACAGAATGTCATGAGATCCCAAACCATAAACCAGAATGGAAAGGCACTTGGTGCCTTGGGCTTATTGGTGGCACTGGACGGAGGAGATGATTGGCTGGGTGGGTGGGAGGGGCGGGCTCAGGGCTGAAACATAGGAACCTGAAGTCCTCCAACCTCAGACCCAGGCCCCTTGTGGCCACTGCCAGCCACGGGCCCGTGTGAGTCGTGGGCAGGGTGGGGTGGCCCTGTCTGGGATCCAGGCCCCCGACCCCAGGCTGATGGGGCTAAAACAGGCCTTTCCCAGGGCCTGCCGGGGTCCAGCAAGTCTGATC